TGAGATTCATTTAACCCTCCATCAGTAATCATTTTTTAAATATTTACCACAATAAAAATATTAATATGCACCACAAGAAGATATAAAATATGTTCGATTGATTTTACCCATGTATATAGATGTTAATAATTTTATTATTTTATTTCTATTCGTCATACTATAAGATGTTAATAATACTAAATTATTTTATTATTTAACCCTCCACAAGCAATCATTTTTTCAAATATTCGTCACAATAAAAATATTAATATATCTACCACAATAAGATATATAAAGTATGCTCGCTAAATTACTATAACTTTATTGCGATGAAAATATTAATCAGAGAAATTCTGATATAAAATGCTTCCACATTGTCTCACGATTACCATTTTATTTTCAGGATAAATTCTGCGTGAGATTCATTTAACCCTCCACGAGCAATCATTTTTTCAAATATTTGTCACAATAAAAATATTAATTCGTAGTAAGTCAAGGCTCTTATTAAATTATAATAAATTTGATAAAAGGCTGTTAAGAGCAGTAAATATAAAAATTATTATTTTTATATATAACTTCACTTTCAAACATAATTTGAATTTTTATATTTACTGTTCTTAACAGCCTTTTATCAAATTTATTAAAAATATTAATATATCTACCACAATAAAATATATAAAGTATGCTCGCTAAATTACTATAACTTTATTGCGATGAAAATATTAATCAGACAAACTCTGATATAAAAAGCTTCCACATTGTCTCCCGATTACCATTTAATTGTCCGGATAAATAAAGAGCAAATTCCGCGCATCATCCCCCGGAGATTTTCCGCATCCGAGGCGCGAAGCGCGCGAGAAGCGACACGTCTTAATCCCGGCGATCCAGCCTCCGATCTTAATTCGCGACGAGATTGCGCGAAGGAGGCTGCTTTGTGGAGGCTCGAGGAGCCGCCGCGAGCGCCGACGCGACGGACGCAATTTCTCGGCGACGCTAAGCGCCCGGCTTAACGATCGCGCGAACGCTGAAAAAGTTTAACGATCGCGTAAAGGCATGCGCACGCGAGTCCGCGAGTAGCTCGCCGCCGAGCTAATTATGTAAACGAGAGTTTCGCGAAGCGAAGAGGGGAGAGATCGCCCGGGCGACATCGATCGGGAAGGGATGAGGAAGAGAGGGATGAAATCTCGCCGCGAACGTTTAATTAAGAATCGGTGTAATTAAATGTTAACCTAGCGGAATACACAATGCGCCGCGATTACGGGAAACGCGAAGTGGTCAACGCTACGTGCTCTCGTTCATTTCGCCTTCGCGGAAATTCTTATTGTTACGCTGATTTATCGAGTCTTCTCGGTGATAACCGAATACTTTAACAAGGGGAAACGTCTCGAGTTCTTAAATGTTGTAATGCGATTGAGAACTTGGCGTTATGAAGATTTCAGACATCGAAAATTTGTAACATTTATGGATATTAAAATGACAAATGACTTTAGATTGTAAGATAATATATGCTAAATATTATAGAATTTTTTTATATAATGAAGTGTTAAAAAAAAGGGTTTTTTGAAATAAAATTAATAAAATTAAAAAAGAATTTTAATAAATTATTAAAAAACAATAAATTGTCACGACGCTAATTTATCGAGTCTTCTCGGTGATAACCGAATACTTTAACAAGAGGAAACGTCTCGAGTTCTTAAATGTTGCAATGCGATTGAGAACTTGGCGTTATGAAGATTTCAGACATTAAAAATTTGTAACATTTATGGATATTGAAATGACAAATGACTTTAGATTGTAAGATAATATATGCTAAATATTATAGAATTTTTTTATATAATGAAGTGTTAAAAAAAAGGTTTTTTGAAATAAAATTAATAAAATTAAAAAAGAATTTTAATAAATTATTAAAAAACAATAAATTGTCACGACGCTAATTTATCGAGTCTTCTCGATGATAACCGAATACTTTAACAAGAGGAAACGTCTCGAGTTCTTAAATGTTGCAATGCGATTGAGAACTTGACGTTATGAAGATTTCAGACATCGAAAATTTGTAACATTTATGGATATTAAAATGACAAATGACTTTAGATTGTAAGATAATATATGCTAAATATTATAGAATTTTTTTATATAATGAAGTGTTAAAAAAAAGGGTTTTTTGAAATAAAATTAATAAAATTAAAAAAGAATTTTAATAAATTATTAAAAAACAATAAATTGTCACGACGCTAATTTATCGAGTCTTCTCGATGATAACCGAATACTTTAACAAGAGGAAACGTCTCGAGTTCTTAAATGTTGCAATGCGATTGAGAACTTGACGTTATGAAGATTTCAGACATTAAAAATTTGTAACATTTATGGATATTGAAATGACAAATGACTTTAGATTGTAAGATAATATATGCTAAATATTATAGAATTTTTTTATATAATGAAGTGTTAAAAAAAGGTTTTTTCAAATAAAATTAATAAAATTATAAAATAAATTTAATAAATTATTAAAAATACTTTAACAAGAGGAAAATCTAGAATTCTTAAAAGTTGCGACTGAGAACTTAACATTCTGAAGATTTCAGAGATTGTAAATATTATAAAATTTTTTTATATAATCAGGTGATGAAAAATATCTATTCTTTTGCAAATAAAATCAATATATTATTAAAAAGCAATAAATTGTCACTGAATATCTCAGTTATAATATAAGCAAAACATTGCAAATCGGCGAAACTTCATTGAAAAAATTAATTCGAGACAGTAAAATATCGATCTTTGGTGAAATCTCGTGTCACTGTATTTTAATCAGTAACAAAGTTTCACTAATTTATTTCGACAGAATAACTTCTGCTGAATAGTTTAATATACAATATATCTTCCATATAAAAACCGTATCGTAGACTCTGAATAATTTTATTCGCTACAAACGAATAAGATATGATTTTTTCTTATTTCTACCAACTCCGACGATGTTTTCTATAATAAAGAAATTATATGACAGATCGCGAGACGGATTTCAGCTCGTATATCAAGTATATCAAGAAAAGATATTAAAAACGCGAGAGTGTAAATCGGATTCGCCCGTTATTTTACGTGACGCTAAAAAGAATGTTTGGCAAACGACGTTCGATCAAAGTGGGCTCGCAATTACGCGCGTTACTGACATTTCTAATAAAATTTCTATTTATCATAATAGAGAAGGAGGGACTTAAATTCCCGAAATAACAGGGTCGATTTGATGCACGCTCGCGTGCTCGACCCAACAACGTTCATGAAAACGAAATGCTCTCCTCTCCACGATATAGAAATCATTATGCAATTATAACGAATCTAAGCGTACTTTTCCGGAAGCGGCGAAACCGCCAAGTGTTATTCAACTTTTGCGGCGGAAGAAGAATCGTGAAGAGAAGAAGTCCGTATATGATAACAAGCTCGAACTTTTCTAATTTCGACGAATGAAGCTGTAACTTACTCGTCAGAAATTTTTACAAGAATGTATATACTATATTATGAAATATAAACGTTATTATGTCCGTATATTAAATATCTCTCTCTTTTAAGATCCATAAATTTCGCTGGATTTTTATCCGATGCTGAAAAAAATTAAATTTTAATTTTCATCTTTCATCATTAACGTGTATTTCTACTAAAAAAAATATAAAAGAATGTCTCTCTCCTTCTCTAGGAATCTAGCAGTCCTGTAAAACGAAATGTTACTCGAGACTCTTATTTGAATCATTTGGCGATAGAGTTTTCGGCAAAAGACGCGGATTCGCAGCAGCGGAAACAATCAAAGGCCGAAGGCAGGCGAATTAAGTGGCGCTCCCTTCGAAGCATAAACAAGTGTTAGGGACGTGAATGGGATCACGTAAAAAACAGATTTCCACCCTCAGCAGCGCGGACGTTCGCGCGCACGAAACACGGATTTCAGACGGCAGCAGGCGGGAAAAGAGGGATCAGAGGGACTAACGTCGTAAGCGATCCCAGGGGCTCGTCAGGAACGATCTTATGATTGACCGCGTTACGCCACTCCCTGAAGACCGTTTTTCAAAAGCTATTTCCGGAAACGCCACCATTATCTACGCACTTCAACGCGGGTTCAGAGAAGAAAAGGCTCTCTAAATTCTAGCACTAATTCTGTCAAATTGAGAATTATCATCTATACATCTCGATTAAAATATTGTATATTTATTATTTGTATAGCATAAAATTCTTCTTTTAGATTTTCAAGAGATTCCCAACCAAATTCTTTGAAATAGAGAATCATCTACATCTACATCTCGATTGATATATTTATCTTTATTTTTCTTTTTATTATAGCATAAAATTCTTCTTTAATGATCTTGACAGGGTGTCCAGCAGATTCAATGAAAGAAATTTCCTGACTTTGTCAGATTTTCCAAGACCAGAAATTAATTTGCTCCCTGACTTTTTAGTATTATTTTTTCCAAATATATAATTTATACATATCTATATGATAAATCAATTAAATGTTAAATCATGAAATCATTGAGATATTCATTTAATAAAAATTTTAAATTATTGAGACAGATGTAGAATAATGTGAAAAAATCCAGATAAATAGTAAAATTTTCTGACTTTTTCCTGACAATTCCAGATTTATAAAATTCCCTGACTTTTTCAGATTTTCCAAGACGAGAAATAAATTTTTTCTCTGACTTTTTAGCATTATTTTCTCCAAATATATAATTTGCATATATCTATATGATAAATCAATTAAATGTTAAATCATGAAATCCTTGAGATATTTATTTAATAAAAAATTTCAAATTATTGAGACCAATGTAGAATAATGTGAAAAAATCCAGATAAATAGTAAAATTTGACTTTTCCCTGACAATACCCGGTTTCCCAGATTTCCCTGACCGCTAGACACCCTGCTTGAGTAAATAAACTCTAAAAGTCTGTAATTTCTTCTTCGCGTGTATGCTTGAACGAAAATATTGTTAAACCTCAAGCTTCTCGTCTTCCTTCTCGAGCGATCAAGATCATCGACTCACCTTTCTTCTCGTCCTCTTCCTCTCCGTGATCAGCGGCATGATGCAGATGATGTACAGCGGGATGATGCCCGGTGATCGCCGGCACCAACGAATGATTGCTCAACGTCGGATGCGGATGATGCGGGTGATGATGGCTGAGGAATCTGACCGCCGCGGCAGCGGCCTGATGCTGGGCCTGCATGCTCTGCTGTACCTGGCTCTGCACCTGTCCCAGAACCGGATGATGAGGGGGCCATCCTGCCAAATGGAACGGGAACACCGGCGTCGTACGTTGGAAGAGTCTGGTTGGGGCCAGCAAGGATCCACCGGAAGCGCTGGAGCCGCTGCCGGGCGGCAACGGAAAGGACAGACCGCCTCCAGGCTCCAGGACCATCTTCGGTACCAACTCGCCGGTTGTTGTCTCTCCTTCGAGAGAGAGCGATCAGTATGTTCGCATCAATCGTCGACGATCAGTCGGCCCCGATCACTAGGAGAGGAAGAGATCGCTCCCGATCACTGGCGCGCCGGAATCATCAGAAATTGATCAGGAATGCGAGGGATTAGGAAGCTCTCTGGTGTCTGGAAGGTTTCTGGTCTCAACGCGCGTTTACATCTTCCATTCTAGGCCTTCTGAAGCACGAGCAAGCACTATTGAACAATGATACAGTCCATGGATCATTACAGTCTATAAGTCACTAGTTTGTGATGATCGTTGAGAGGTTTGTAAACATTGAGATCTCGCTGCTTCGAACGGAATTTTACATCTGCCATCCTAGATCTTCTCGATCAAATTCATCTCAATCGTCGAGCTTTGAAAAGAACTTAATCTTAAAGAAAAATGGGAATCTTCAAGACACTTCGAGATTATTTACTGTCTTTGTCAACGTCTATTATTCACATGTTCCTGATTTTTGGATGCTTTCCTCGTAGAATCTGCAGGTCAATCTCGCGATCCAAAATGTCAGCGATGGCGTTTCACATGTTTCATTTAATTTTTACTGCGTCGAGAGTTGCGTTGCCTGTCAGGTAGCCGTCTGACAGAATTTCGCTTGCCGTCGGCCAGCTTCTCACGACGTTTTCACGGTTTTTTCGATGACCTTTCTGAGCAAACTCGAGCGATATCACAAATAATAGTACAATACTTCAATCATACGTCCATGATCAACAATAGCAAATAGTCAACTTCACCAATTATCATCAATACAATCAATTCTTCACTTATTGCGAAGCCGGTCGATGAAAAAGCTTGGTGATTTTCGACGATAACAAAAATCTTCCCAAAGATTCCTCGCGCAGCCTCCTATCTGATGTCACTGCGAGCTCCACGACCCACAGAGCCGATTCCTCTAAATATAGTATACAATTAATGTCCGTGGCCGCGATCGAAGCACTGTAACGCGCACGTTCGCGACAGTTTTTCAGGCCGTGACACGTTACCGGAGACTTCCGGGTCCTCGCGACCTTCGCGGATCCAGTGCGTGCGACAGGCGGATCTCCGGGATTTCCTTGGGTAGCAAGGACCTGCTGTGGTATTAGAACCACTACGGCATGAGCCAACGGCACAATACTATCTGCCCAGAGACTCGAGTCAACGACTCCCCTCTGTTAGCGAGACCAAAACTGGTTTCAGGATCCGCCCATGGGCCGGCGATTGGACGAGCGTGCGTCAGACTCGTGGATGATGAGAGATGTTGGACCAATGGAAAGACGGGACGGCCATGCCCACCGGACGCTTTTTTCGTCCTGGAATTGAATCGACGCCTGGCTGCGACGTCTATAGTGGGGGCGAATCAATTGGCGGCTGCCCTGAAACAGGCCGCAAGATGGCTCCTCCCTTCCCACAGCTGCTGCGAGATACCCTTGCCGATCTCTCGTCGACCGAGGCACTCGAATTCGATCCGAGTCGGATTCGTGGTAATGGACAGGCGAAGGTATATATCAACGAGTTGCACGGTTGTTTATTGCTCCCAGGTATTGTTGTCCTCCGTTTGTTCGCCAATTCTTCTTCTAAATCAAGATTTTTCTTCAAACTGAAAGATTAAGTCTTTCCGATTCGCGAATTTAGTATTTTCGAGTTACAGTTGTCTAATTTCAAGATTACGTTCGATATCAACAATTACGTGCCGTATCGATAAACGCTACTTGAGCCAAAATCACGGCGAGAGTATCAGTATTTGAAAATACCTAATTTTAATCAAAATATTAACTTAACGATCGTGTGCAAACATGATGAACCGTCACGCGGTATTGAAAGAAGCCAATTTCGAAATGGAAGGATCTCGATTTCTATCGCAGAAGGTGTGTTATTCCATACGGAATGTCCTATTGATAAAATTAATGAAACGGGTAATTCGAGCCTCGAGTGGACGGACGAGCTCGCGAGGAAGAGACACCCCCATGATAACGCACCACCACTCCCGTGGCAACCCCCACCTCGGGTTCCTTCCACCCCTCCAGCCCCCGAGGGCGCGATCCTCTTTTAATAAAAGGAGCTCGGAGGCGTTAAGTAATTACATCTATTCTCTGCTGGGGAGGAAATTACCTGCGCTGCGTCGGCGTGGGAAAAATTGGGAAATTAAAATTAACCCCCACCAGAGTCGAGTGGTAACTCGCGCTTGTGCGCTCTGCTCTCTCTCTCTCTCTCTCTCTCTCTCTCTCTCTCTCTCTGGATTGCTCGCTCGGCCGGAACACTTCGTTCTCGAATTTAGGAGGAGCCGGCGGCCATTACCGCTTACGTAATCTTTTTTTGCACACAGTGGCAACGGCGGCGGCAGCAGCTTGTTAGCGAAGTTATTTAGCACGCGATTCGCTCGCTCGTCGACGAGAACCGAGAGAGAGAGAGCGGCGCTCATCTATCATCTCTGAATATTGTTGATACCAGAATGATACCGAACGATACATTTCTAACTCCGTTACTTTATATATCTAAACAAAACTTTGAGCGTTCTTTCTTCCGAATTAAGGGTATAATTAAATATCTTGCAATTTACTTCTTCGCACTCTCGCGAATAATTGAATTATTTAATAGCTGACGTCTGTTTAAGAACCTGGTGATCCTGGCGAGGGAAAGAAAGAGGGGTTGAAAGGGGTGAAGTGGAGCTATGAAAAATTGATCGGATACGATATCTCACGTTTAGGTGCATCTTGGTGAAGGAAGCAGAACACGCGCGGGTCATACATCAAATACCCGAGAAGCTCTGCGCGCGCGCCGACCGTGCTTTAATATAAAACTTAAATAACGATATAGGGAGAGGAAGAGGCAGAGTGCGCCATGACGAAAATGGCGAATAATCTTATGAATAAGTTCTTCGCCCGGTTCGGCTACGAATACCAAAACCGCCGCGAGAATCCGCTCCATTAAGTCTCGCGATGTTTCCTGAATCGACGAACGAGAGCCATCGTATCGCTCCTCAAACTTACATCTCTTGAGTGACTAATAGTAAAAAAAAAAAAATCGCTAATTTAATTTATATTGTATTATATATATTTTTAGTTTCATTCTCATCGTATTTTTCGTGGATTTTCGAGATAGATTAGATTTCCTGGAAAATTGTTCTTCAGCCTTGCAACAAACCTCTGTATCATTTTATTATTAATAAGAAGAAGAAAAAGAGAGAAAGCTCGCCTTTAATCAAGGTCAAATCCTCATTTGGCACGTCCTCGCTCGCCATCAAATATAATCACCAAAAAGCGCACCATCTTTTTTCCCTTCTCGTCTCTTCTTCGGGGTTTTTCCTCCCCCTCTCCCACCCCTTTCCGGTCTACACACGCAGAAATCAGCCTCCTACCTCCCTTCTGTCCTTTAGACTCGTTCTCTCGCTCTCTCGAATTGAATCTCCGGGAAAGAGGAGAGGGTGAGAAGACGAAGGAGAAGGTTGCCTTGGCAACGACAGAGGGTTTCTCGATGTGGTTGCCGGGGCAACCTGTAACCAGCGACCCCTAAATATGCGCCAGGAACCGCAGAGAAGAGAGAAGGGGTTGGAGGAGAAGTGAGAGAAAGGGAGGCATTTAATATCAAGTTAAATAAAAGCCTCTTCCCGCAAAAAAAAATATAACGACACGAATTAAAACCAAGCGGGAGGAGAATTACATACCTGACAATTCTTGTACGCATTTTTCAAAATATGCGTTCAAAAATACTCTCTAGCCATTTTGTTACGAATTTAATTTAATTATTTTAATTAATTATAAAAACGCTACTAATAATAGTTAAAATTGCACTTGACGCAAAATTAAATTAATCATTACGTCAAAGATATGTTATATTCCCAGTTCTCGATACTAAAAGAGCAAAGAGAAGAAAAGTCTGAGCCATTAGTGGAGCAGGAATAATTTTCCGGAATAATGTGGAAAAGTTGCGGGCGACGCGCGCTATTACGTAAAAGTCAAAGCTCTTGTCGGGAATTAGGATGACGCTCGTCTCGAGAGACCGAGCGTACATAATGCGGACGCGGAAAAGACGAGCGAAGAGGAGAAGAAACTGGCGAGTTCCTAATTTACACAGTCGCCGCATCCACCGAGAGAGCCGCCCTTACCCGGCCCGGACGGAACTTTGCCGGCGATTAAAACGCTTTAGTAATTAACTGGGTCTCCTCACCTTTCGCGAGTAGCAGTTACCAACGCCGCACCTCGAGACTCTCCGTCTCCATCTTCCCCACACCTTACTCTTGCATTATTTAACCCTCCGTTATACAAGAGTACTTTCTCTTCTTTAGTGAATAATTGTCGTAGGAAAATGTTAATCGAAGACGTACGTCACAAAAGTGAGGTTAGAAAATCTGTTGCAAAATATGTGCTTATGGAAAGTGTCAATAAAGTATACCCCAGAATTAGTAGTACACCTGTTAATGGCAGATTTTTGGGGTTATTTGGAAACGATCTTTCTTCTTTTTTTAATTTCATACTTTAATAGAATTTTTATTTCATCTTTATTACGAAGATACATGATAGCAAAAATTAGGAACATGGAAAAAATGATGGCCTCAGTGAATAATTGTCGTAGGAAAATGTTAATCAAAGACGTACGTCACAAAAGTGCGTTTAGAAAATCTGTTGCAAAATATGTGCTTATGGAAAGTGTCAATAAAGTATACCCCAGAATTAGTAGTACACCTGTTAATGGCAGATTTCTGGGGTTATTTGGAAACGATCTTTCTTCTTTTTTTAATTTCATACTTTAATGGAATTTTAATTTAATCTTTATTACGAAGATACATGATAGCAAAAATTAGGAACATGGAAAAAATGATGGCCTCAGTGAATAATTGTCGTAGGAAAATGTTAATCGAAGACGTACGTCACAAAAGTGAGGTTAGAAAATCTGTTGCAAAATATGTGCTTATGGAAAGTGTCAATAAAGTATACCCCAGAATTAGTAGTACACCTGTTAATGGCAGATTTCTGGGATTATTTGGAAACGATCTTTCTTCTTTTTTTAATTTCATACTTTAATGGAATTTTAATTTAATCTTTATTACGAAGATACATGATAGCAAAAATTAGGAACATGGAAAAAATGATGGCCTCTTTCGACATTTTCGCTGAGGAAAAATCGTTTCCAAATGATCCGAGGAATCTGCCATTAACAGGTTTACTATTAATCTTGGGACCTGTATATCAGGGATCGCTGGTAAATTTACTATGTGTACATATTAATATTTTTATTGTGTTAAAAATTAATCAGAGAAACTCTTGTAAGATTCTTCCAATACCATATTGTCGCACGGTTACACCGCATGATTTTCAGGGTAAATTCTAAGAGAACCCAGCAAACACAGTATATAATTGTTATATACTTAAGCATGTTACATGTAACGTATATGTTAGTTGTAATTTCCCACTCATAGATGTAACATTTTTAATATTACATATATTACATTGTAGTTATATTGTCATTATATCCCAAGATAGCACTGACTTATCAATACATCAATGTGCTATTTGGTATATAATTACAATATAACTACAATGTAATATATGTTATATGAAAATGTTACATCTATGAGTGGAAAATTACAACTAACATGGATGTTACATGTAACGTACACGTTATATTACCTGTTATATTCCGTTTTATTATAGCAATGTAACAATTATATATCGGTGTTTGCTGGGAAAATTCTCTCGGTGCATATTTAGGAGATACTTCGGCGAACAAAAATATATATCAGTCCTATATCAATGGCCGACATCCTCGTCTAATCCTGTCCGGTTTTCCTCCCTCTCATTTCCCCACTTTTCCCGCTTTTCGCACGCGCACACTTACAACATCTCCGGCCGGCGCGATAAAGTCTCGAAGTAATTAGCTCGATGTTTACACAGTTTAACGTTTCCCTCGTATCTTCGGCTTTACTCCTACGCGCAGCATCTCAATTAACTTACGGCGTACTTAATTAGCCGGGCCAGCACGCGGCTCGCAAAGCGCTTTCGAATCCCTCGGTCTTGTCGATCGACCCTTTCCCGGAGCAACGCGACGCTGCTCCGGTTTTCCCCGGCTTTATCATTCGCGCCTCCCAGCGGATCTCGCGCCGCGAGATTATTCCAGATGGCCGTC